TTTACTGATCAAGACAGCTGGATTTTACAGTGAGAGGCGGAAGCATATGAATACTTATAGAAGCCATTTTAAATAGTTGAAAAACCCAAATGTTTCATGTTGTAAACATTCACACTCATCCCATGCTTAGATTATTCAGTAAACTGTAAACTAATTGTTCAGATATGTCGTTAGAACAGAAAAAGACAACATTTGTCCCATTTTCCTAACACTAACACACCAATATGAGTTCATTAATGCTGTATGTTTGACTACATCATTGCTTCTGTTGTTCCTCTACTCACCCTCTTGTTGTCCGCACTGCCTTTATCCTGTCTGTGGCTGACCTGCCATTCACTCTTTCTCTCTTTTGATTAGCCAGTGAGTGACACATTGCATAACTGATATTTTACATTTGAAAAATTAACATTCCTGTTTGTGTTGTGTCGCATCCGTCTGTGAATGTTAATGCACAATACTGTGCATGCACACCTCTACAACTTTTCCGTGTTTTCATTCAGCGCTCAGTGTGTGGATATATGTAGCTTAATGTGTCTGTGCTGTTTAGCTGCATGTTGGTGTGTGTGCCTCACCTCTCTGTACTGTGAACAGCAGGACAGCTGACACCTCAGCAAGGATGGATTAGCATATCAAACTACTGGCAACACTGCATGTCTCCTGACAGCTACCGCTCTCGCATGGGGTAGAATATAGAGTAACACCCAGTAGCATCCCTGGGACCAAGTATAGAAGGTTGAGAGCGGTTTCACTGAGTGCTCTGACAAACTACTTTAAACTTCACATTAAAAAGCAGCACAACCTCTTCTTCTAGCAATTGTTTCTAAGTTTTCAAGGAACTTAGCAGATAAAGAGACAAATAAGTCCTTCTATGGACCAAATCAGAGCTAAGAAGAGAATAAATAGAAGTAGCAACTTAAATCCAGTCTTAAAATGAATCTGTTTTCACTTTAATTGCCAATGTTATTCAACTTCTTAATGTTCAAAGGCTAAAAGGTATATGGGTCATACAAGAACAGAAAGGCAACTTGTCATCAACAAAAAATTCAATGAAAGCTGCATTCATCTTTGGCACACTAACATACTATTGCAACAGATTCTGTGGATTTAAACTTTTATGTTTGAAAGAAGCCGTATTTTGACCGCAGCAGTCACGGTAATGAAAGAAAACATGTTTTGCATTTAGGTGAGGAGACACTAATCAGCCTGAGTACAGATCATCATGTAACAAGCTACAAGCCCATTATCATCAATGGAGCTCCAGTGGAGAGGGTGCAGTCCTTCAAGTATCTTGGTGTCCACATCTCCTCAGACCTGACATGGGCTGCCCACATTCAGGTCCAGACCAAAAAGGCTAGGCAGCGCCTGTATCACCTACGACAACTGAGGAAGTTCAGGGTCTCTCCAAAGATCCTCAGGATTTTCTATACAGGCGCTGTGGAGAGCATCCTCACACAGAACATGACATCGTGGTTTGGGAACAGCTGTGTGAAGGACCAAAAAGCTCTCCAGAGAGTGATCCGTACAGCAGAACGCTGCTGCAGGATTGCTCTCCCCCCGCTTCAGGACACCTACACCAGGAGATGCCGGACTAGAGCAGCGCAGATACTGAAGGACCCGTCCCATCCTGGCAACAAACTGTTCCAACTTCTGCAATTTGGTAGAAGGTTCCGCATCTTCCGGGCAAGGACAGAGAGACTCAAGAGGAGCTTCTATCCCCAAGCCATCCGGGCCCTAAACACACACACCCGCCCTCTCACATCATCTATAATTGACTGAGACAGACTCTTCCAGACACTCTAAACCAAGGCACAATGTACATTTCAAATTCCTTTAATTTTAAATATGTTTATATTGTCTATCCTGTAAAATAGTCAGATGTCTATTCATATTAATGTACAGAATTCACCTGCTTGCTGCTACTACTGCACATTCACCCAGTGTATATACTATATAAAAAAAAAAAACACCCAGCACGCCCCTGCGGGCGGTTTTATCCTTCAAGCTCGGGTCCTCTACCAGAGGCCTGGGAGCTTGAGGTCCTGCGCAGTATCTTAGCTGTTCCCAGGACTGCGCTCTTCTGGACAGAGATCTCCGATGTTGTTCCCGGGATCTGCTGGAGCCACTCGCCTATCTTGGGAGTCACCGCACCTAGTGCTCCGATTACCACGGGGACCACCGTTACCTTCACCCTCCACATCCTCTCGAGCTCTTCTCTGAGCCCTTGGTATTTCTCCAGCTTCTCGTGTTCCTTCTTCCTGATATTGCTGTCATTCGGAACCGCTACATCGATCACTACGGCCGTCTTCTTCTGTTTGTCTACCACCACTATGTCCGGTTGGTTAGCCACCACCATTTTGTCCGTCTGTATCTGGAAGTCCCACAGGATCTTAGCTCGGTCATTCTCCACCACCCTTGGGGCATCTCCCATTTTGACCTCGGGACTTCCAGGTTATACTCGGCACAGATGTTCCTGTACACTATGCCGGCCACTTGGTTATGGCGTTCCATGTATGCCTTGCCTGCTAGCATCTTGCACCCTGCTGTTATGTGCTGGATTGTCTCTGGGGCATCTTTACACAGCCTGCACCTGGGGTCTTGCCTGGTGTGATAGACCCCAGCCTCTATGGATCTTGTGCTCAGAGCTTGTTCTTGTGCTGCCATGATTAGTGCCTCTGTGCTGTCTTTCAGTCCAGCTTTGTCCAGCCACTGGTAGGATTTCTGGATATCAGCCACCTCCTCTATCTGCCGGTGGTACATACCGTGCAGGGGCCTGTCCTTCCATGCTGGTTCCTCGTCTCCCTCCTCTTTCTTGGTTTCTGCTGCCTGAGGTATTCACTGAGCACTCGGTCAGTTGGGGCCATCTTCCCAATGTATTCTTGGATGTTCGTTGTCTCATCCTGGACTGTGGTGCTGACACTCACCAGTCCCCGGCCCCTTCCTTCCGCTTAGCGTACAGCCTCAGGGTGCTGGACTTGGGGTGAAACCCTCCATTCATGGTAAGGAGCTTTCTTGTCTTTATGTCAGTGGCTTCTATCTCCTCCTTTGGCCAGCCTATTACCCCAGCAGGGTACCTGATCACGGGCAGGGCGTACGTGTTGATGGCCCGGATCTTGTTCTTACCATTCAGCTGACTCCTCAGGACTTGCCTGACCCTCTGCAGGTACTTGGTGGTTGCAGCTTTTCTAGCGGCCTCTTCATGGTTCCCATTCGCCTGCGGGATCCCCAAGTACTTGTAACTGTCCTCTATGTCTGCAATGTTGCCTTCTGGTAGTTCAATCCCCTCAGTTCTGACTACCTTCCCTCTCTTTGTTACCATCCGACTACACTTCTCCAGTCCGAACGACATTCCAATGTCATTGCTGTATAGCCTGGTAGTGTGGATCAGTGAATCGATGTCTCGTTCACTCTTGGCATACAGCTTGATGTCATCCATGTACAGGAGGTGGCTGACAACTGCTCCGTTCCGTAGTCGGTATCCGTAGCCAGTCTTGTTAATGATCTCACTGAGGGGGTTCAGGCCTATGCAGAACAGCAGTGGGGACAGAGCATCTCCTTGGTAGATCCCGCACTTGATGGTGACTTGTGCTATGGGCTTGGAGTTGGCCTCTAGTGTTGTACGCCACATCCCCATTGAGTTCCTGATGAAGGCTCTTAGGGTCCCATTGATCTTGTACAATTCTAGGCATTCCAGTATCCAGCTGTGGGGCATTGAGTCATAGGCCTTCTTGTAATCAATCCAGGCAGTGCACAGGTTGGTCAGTCTGGTCTTGCAGTCTCGGCTGATTGTTCTGTCTACCAGTAGCTGGTGTTTTGCGCCTCTGGTATTCTTGCCAATTCCTTTCTGTGTCCCGCTCATGTATTGACCCATGTGCCTGTTCATCTTAGCCGATATGATGCCTGACAGGAGCTTCCATGTAGTACTGAGGCAGGTTATTAGTCGGTAGTTGGAGGGACCGGTCCCTTCTTGGGGTCCTTGGGGATCAGGACCGTCCGGCCTTCAGTTAGCCATTCCGGGTGTATCTCGTTAACTAGCAGCTGGTTCATTTGTGCTGCCAGACGCTCGTGGAGTGCAGTTAGCTTCTTCAGCCAGTAGGCGTGAACCATGTCGGGCCCTGGTGCTGTCCAACTCTTCATACTGGAGACCCTTTCTTGGATATCTGCCACTGTGATGGTTACTGGACCCTGTTCAGGGAGGTCGCTGTGGTCTGCCCTCAGATCCTCTAGCCACTGAGCATTGCCGTTATGGGTTGCATCCTTCTCCCATATGCTCTTCCAGTATTGCTCCGTCTCCAGCCTTGGTGGTGCTGTTCTCTTATTGTTCCCTTGCCACTGAGAGTACACCCTTGCTGGTTCTGTGGAGAACAGCTGGTTTATTCTCCTGCCTTCTATCTCTCTGGTGTACCTCCTCAAGCGGCTGGCCAAGGCTGTGAGTCTTTGCTTGGCAGTTTCCAAGGCCTCGGGTATGGACAGCTTGCTGTATTTCTTAGGCACCTTATTCGTCGCACCTTTCTGCAACTCCGTTAGTTGGCTGGTATATATATATATATATATATATATATATATATATAATGTTCTTCCTCTACACCCCCCCCAATTTTTGCACATGTCGAGGAGCGTGTCAGGCTACATTTCACTGTGTGTTATACTTGTATAACTATGCATGTGACAAATAATGAACCTTGAACCTTGAACAGGTTTCATTAAAAAGGTTGCTGTTAATTCAAAGGAGGACTAAACATACTGCTGCACTGCCATGCTTCCTCACTAGTGGAGGAGGCTGTTTTTGTGAAGCGCACTTTCTTTGTGAACTCAAACACATTCAACAGGTTAATCAACCAAAACCTGGAGACTACGGCTCTCTGGGAATAACCATCCTCGCTGGTTTTGATTAGATTGTACCTTTCCTCTTCCAAGATATGCTTCTTTTTGCCGTCTCAGGAAAGAAAAAGGAGGAAGAATCGTTTCTCGTTCTACTCTCATCATCACAACATTGATCTTACTGTCTCCTGTAGAAGTGTCCTGTGAGTCCAAGATGCCCGATTCCTGGAGCGATCGGATGCAGGAGTCCACCAGCTCTAGGCCTGTTGTCAGCTCCTCCTCTATGTCCTTCTGTCCATCTACACGTGCAGGAAGAACAGGAGACAAACATGAGCAGAAATTCATACACTTACACATCATGTGACTACACTATTTCTTACAGTTAGCAAATGAAGAGCCACATGCAGACTCCCAATGACTCTCATTGTCTCTGCTTTCTGTCTATTGTGTTTGTAACCTTTTATTTTCAACTCATCCTTTAACCAGAAACCCACCTTTGAATATAAGCAACTGGATCTTAGACTATAACACAATTCTAGACAAGTTTCAACAAAAAAATATTCAAAATCATTGTCATTTAACTGCAGATTAGTTACCCAAGAAGTGGCTTTACACAGTGACACAGAGCAGCATGCAATGGCGATCAATGGGCCAAGGGTAAAGGCCTAACTGATAATCCAGCAACAAATCTTGAGGTCCACCTTGTACTTAGATACCAGCCATTTGTCTGTCAGAAAGAGGCTGATAACATGCCCAGTGTTTTCAAGTTAAAGTGGGCTGCCAAGGGGGATAACAGCTTACAAATGAGTCTTAGGAGCAGCATTAATCTCTTATCAAGACAGAAGAGAAACGGTAATAGTAGAGGACTTAGTCAGTGGATTTAGGAGGCAGATTTTATTGACTTCAACTGACACAATTCTAGACTGATGATGTTGATGCTGTTGGTGAAGCATTTCCAGGGGTGTCTGAAGCATTCCACTAGAATTACTCTTACCCTCACTAACAAAAGCTAAAAGTCATTTTTAAATCTGTCCCCCCCCCCTCGCATAGCGGGATGGATAAAGACCGCGGCAGACATTGAAAACTTTCACTGTGGAGGGTTTAAACCACAAAAACTCCGCGCTTCCTATACAACTCAGCGTGACTGACAATGAGGCAGAGAGAGGGAGACCTAAGTGTCACGCATGGGAGGTATTTCTTCAGCTAATAAATGCCGTCAAAGAAGTTGTCAAGCCTGGAGAAGTGTCTTAATTTGACTTTCAAATTGCCTAAAAGCTCATTGATTCTCATTGTCCTTTATGGAAAGCACATCCCATCTGGCACCCTGAACAGGTTAAACTAAATACTCAGAATTATTTGCAAATGCTGCTTTACTCAGTTGTCAGATGGTTTGAGGTGTGGTGAGAGAATCTCACCCTTTTATTGTTAACTAACCTTTATTGGGGTGGTTTAAGACCACCGCAGTACTTTCTAAAGAACTACATCAATATATATAATATTATATAGGACGAGATTACAATGCAATAAGCACAACCAGCAAAGCGCAGCGCTACAGTACAAACAGTGAATAAGACAGTCCCATTACCTTGATTATTCCAGCGAAACTTCTCATCTGCTGAACTGCAAGAGACAAACGAGAGAAAGAAAAAAAAAGTGTTAATATACTGTGAAATGTTGTTCTTTGGTGGAGCACCATCGGGATACTTTTAGATTGACGGTAGTCCATTAAGCCACACATGCCTTAAACTGTGTTTCCCATCCATGTCCACTGCGTAGGTTTGCGATAAAAACGGGAATACCACACAAAATGCTGCTTTCTACGGTTTGAACTCTTATTTTTTCGCTGAAGGATGAAAACATACAGACTTCAGATTCTTCAGTACCTTGGGAACAGAGACCCTTCTCAAAACCAATAACATACACTCCAAAATGCCTTATTATCAAAGTGAAAACAAGGTTGCTTTTGAATTTCTCTTTTTGTGAACTTGTTTGGGGTATTTGTTTATCCCTCTACAGTGTTATCTTGTCATGGGAATGATTTCAGAAGGGTAAGCACAAAGGGATTGGAGATAAGAAATATTACTAAAAGGGTGGTGAGAAAACATCAGTTCAAATAGGACTAGAGAAGTCTGCCTGTTTTTCTGCACCAGTGAAACACAATAATAAAAAAAATATAAGATTCCATACACATCTGCACTGATTTGGTACGCAGTAGTGCCAACAGATAAAGCACGGAGTACCAATGCTGCTCACAAGTGTCGGCGTTGCTCCTGAAATTCCCTGTGCATTTACTGTGTTTACAGACCGTCTTCAGCTTTGTCTTGGCAGCCAATAACGTATCTTCACACAGACTCCCATTTAGTGTTTCAACACAGCCATAATGTTACATATAACAAACAATGCTGACAGGCCTACGCATTTCTGTTTCAGTTGTCATACAAGTGCGTGGTTATAAGTCTCATGCAAACTCATTTCCTCTTCTCTCCTGTTATTTCCCCTCTCGTTCTGTCCTACCAGGTAGCAGAGAAGTAATATTTGCTCCTTGAATTTCATTACATAGCATGTACACAACCATGTCAGCTCCTTTTACGCACTTAATTTGTTGATTTGTTTGCTAGTTCATTCAGGATATTTGATGGCTATGTAAAGGCGGTTCTGCCTGTGATTTTGTGTGGATTGGCACCCTGAAACAAACATATGAGAAACTATATTGCTGTTTTTTAGTGTTTACTTACAGTGGTATTCTTGTTGTGACACACACACACACACACAAACACACACACACAGTAATTCTATACAGCTTTCGACTGTAGCAACGTCCAATAAATCTTTGAAGACTCCTCTTGTATATTCTCTCTGTAACTCCCCAACCAGTGATATTTGTCAGAAGACATTAGACACCAGAGCACGTAAATTCCTATTAATCTTACAAATTCAGAAAACCTCCATTGTATTATGATCGCCAAGATGTTCAGTGTAAATCAATATCAACAAGATTTAAACCTTTGTAATCCACACACACTAAATAACCCTTGTGTTTGTGTCAATACGTGACATAACACCAAAATAATAACATTTACCCATGTAAGTAGGCTACAGGCTCAGTAGAGCAAACAAGTGGAGTGACTACACATCATGTACTGTATTAAGTACAGTGTTACTGTTTTATTACTCTGAGTAAAAGTATCATTTCCAAGTTGTATTTCCTGCTCAAGGATTAAAGGCTCTTGGTAATTCCGATTTCCTGTATTCTCCTTTGAGGCCTGTTTGCTGAAACGAGCTCGAGGGCTTCAAGTTCTACTTTTGGAAAAGTTCCTTATCCACCTCAATTCCTGGATGACCAACCGCCTGTTGATAAGACTGACATTCCCAAAGGTTACTCTGTGCCTCTGAGCCTGAAAATTAAAATTACTATGATCTCCTTCTTTCAGCTGCTCCCTTTAGGGTACTCCATAGTGGATCATCTGCCTCTAATCCTAACTCTAGTATTCAAACCCTCTACATGAGCTCTCTCACTACATGCACAAAGCTTCTCTGTGGTCTCTCTTTGGCGCCTGCCTGGCAGCTCCATATTCCACATCAAAAAGGATAAAGGTCCAGTACATCCACTGTCCCTCCAGTGCACACGCCCAAGTATGTCAGATTTGCCTCACTAACCAAACTACTCAACCTTAGTTGTCCATTTGATATACTCATTTCTAAACCTGCCCTTCCTACTTACTTCTAACAAGGAAGGTAAAACGGTAAAATAATGACACTATAATATAGTGTACACTAACAATATGTAAAAACATACAAAGAGATATGACTTTTCACAATTTTTTCTTATGAAAATGGACTTTCATGTCTTTGTGGTGAAGTTAGAAGCAGTAAGTGACTAATTTAGCTCAAAGGCTGGAAGGAGCCTAAAACAGTTGCCAACTGGCCTCAGCTAATTGCTCAGCAAATAATCTGCTGGTTTTAGTTTTCTTGTTAGCATACAGAATTCAAAGCGGTATCAATCTCCCCATCAAACCTCATACCCTTATAGCCACAGTGTACCCATGAGAATATGGGATAACACACGCCTTCACAAGCTCAGATGATTTCAACCAGGTTTGTTGAGCATGACACTGAGCTCACTGTACTCAGATGGCCTCCACAGTCACCACATTTCAATTCAAGAGCACCTTTGGGACGTGGTGAAATGAGAGAGTTCCATCACAAATGTGCAGCTGACTAATCTGCAGTAACTAGGTGACGCTGTTGAAGCTCATGAAGAGTTAAAGGCAGCCCAACCCAGTAGTTGGGCTGCAAATGCATGTTCTTACTCACTTCTTCTGCTCATTGAGCTGGGAACCCGAATGGTGTTAACACCGAAAGGGCACGTTTGAACCCAAACCATGACCTATTCGTCTTGTGGTGGCTACACCTAACCAGTAGAGCTGGGCGATATAAGATTTTTTCATATCACGATATGTTTTTTTCCATTTCAGGCGATAACGATATATATCACGATATAAGCCAAATAACGATATTTGTAAGATTTAAATGTGCCGTTGCTCACAAGTAAAATGTGAAATAATCAGCAGCTTGTTTTTATTTAAATATTTACTTCCCATAATAAGTTCAACAGGGTAGATGTACTTAAGGAACATGAGACTTTTTCAGATAAATAAAGGCAAATATTGCAAACTACACAAAAGGCAGCCGCTAAAGCGTTTAAGTTTAAAAATAGAACAAACGAAACAGACTAAATTGTCAATTCCACTTAGAAACAAAATATTAATTCTAAAAATAAATCTTAGTTTGTTTTACAGAAGAACAGACAAAATTGACTAACTTTTGTCAATATCAAATAAACTGAGAACTAAAAGGAAATTCTCAATCTCTCCTTGTTGTATAGCTTAGCTTTTCAAACAGTTTTAACAGTTACTTTAGTCTGACAAAAGCCGAATGACGAATTAGCGCTTCCAGTCAGAGACTGAGGCTACGTCCACACGTACACGGGTATTTTTGAAAACGGAGACTTTCCGTTTTCGTTTTAAAAAATAATCCCATCCACACATAAAGGGAGAAATGAAGGAAAACGCTGCTATGAACATGCCAAAGCAGCAGGTGGAGCTAGATTCCTAACCGTGCAGAAATGTTGGCCAATCAGAAGTCTAGAAGCCTCGGTGGGAAAAAGTAAACAAAGCTGGGGCATAGAAGCAGAACCGAGTCGTATGTGTGGAGGGACAGTAACTGTGTGTATATGTAAGCATTTAAACACTGCGGAGAGTAGAATTAATAGTAACAGTATTGTAGAAATTCATTTCACCGAAACAATAACGTGGCGCACAGTGTGACGTCAAAAAATGCGCACACCTTTGACGCTGCGTTTTCTCCGTTTTTCTAGTCCACACGTAAATGCAAAAACGGAGTTTTCAAAAATCTTCGTTTTCAGTGACCAAAAACGCCGTTTACGTGTGGACGAAAGGTGCAAACTCATAGAAAAATCTGCGTTTTCAAAAATACCCGGGTACGTGTGGACGTAGCGCATGCACCAGTTTATTGTTGTCACGGTCCCCGTGTCTCTCTGGTTGGCCCACGCTGGCCCAACTCACTGTACATATATTTTGCACTAAGGTGATCCCTATTGTAAATAAATCCCCTTTTTGTTTCCTTGAAAGAACTGTCTGCGCGTGGGTCCGTTCAGTAGCCATGACAGAACGTTCCAGCCATCTTCCAAGCGTTGGTTAACGACGTGCTCCGTGATTTCCTAGATCGGTTCGTTTTCGTCTATCTGGACGACATCCTGATTTTCTCTAAGACTGAAACCGAACATGTAACCCATGTGAAACAGGTCCTGCAGCGGCTGCTGGAAAACAGACTCTTTGTGGGAGGAGAAATGTGAATTCCACGTTCAAACAGTGGCGTTCCTGGGTTACATAATTGACCAGGGTAACCTCAAACCGGATCCGGCCAAGATCAAAGCTGTTGTGGAATGGCCGGAACCAACTGATCACCGTCAGCTTCAGCAGTTCCTCGGCTTTGCGAACTTTTATCGCCGGTTCATTAGGGACTTCAGTAAAATCGCTCTGCCTTTGACCCGCTTAACCTCTCTTTTCAGTGGGATCAGGCGGCCCAAAAGGCCTTCGCACAGCTCAAGGACCGATTCACCACTGCACCCATCCTGGCCCAGCCCGACTTGCGACTCCAGTTCATTGTGGAGGTGGATGCCTCCGACTCGGGGGTCGGCGCCGTGCTCTCGCAGCAGCGGGAGGGTAAGCTACGGCCCTGTGCCTTCTTCTCTCGCCGTCTCTCCCCAGCTGAACGCAACTATGATGTGGGAGACCGGGAGCTCTTGGCTATAAAACTGGCCTTGGAGGAATGGAGGCACTGGTTGGAGGGCACAGCTCTGCCATTCATTGTATGGACAGACCACAAAAACCTGGCTTACCTGCAAACAGAAAACGTCTCAACGCCCGACAGGCTAGGTGGTCTCTTTTTTTCACCCGTTTTAACTTTTCAATCTCCTACAGACCGGGCTCGCGGAATGTGAAGCCGGACGCCCTATCACGTCAGTTCTCGGTGTCTGAGGAGAGGCGGGACCCTGAACCTATCCTGCCAGCGGCTTGTGCCATCGGTGCCATAACATG